TTGTAGTAATGTAGTTATCAACATTAATGCCAGTAAAATGTAGGTTTAATATTCAGTGAAATGTTTATATTCAAATAGGTAGCTACTAAATAGTTGAATGTAAATTAATGTAATTATCGAATAGGATAATCGTGCGAGTATTTTAATGATACTTCCAATTTTTATAATAATATTAATTGATATAAATAATAATAATATATGTGTATTGACTATTGACTATTGAGTACATCGTTTCAATTTGTTGATAGAATAATATTTTTAAATGTTTTCACAAAACTTAGTAACAATTGAATTAGTTAACCAAACAATAACTTTGAATACACATATTTTAAGAAAAAGGGTAATAATGTGTTCCGTTTTTAATCTTGGTTAGAGGTTTCTATAATTTATTATTGAAACTAGAAATTATTGTGAAGCAAATTGATAAATATGAGGTGATGTCACGGCGCATAGGTGCCTACCTAGTTAAAATAGATTTGTTTTATTTCAAGTATACAAAGAAAGTTATTTTATTTATTAAGAGTACCTATGTCAGAAAATTTTTTTTGCATCTATTCGACCCATTCACAACATAACACATTTTACGTTCACAATAATGATTATAACCAATATGATTATAATAATCATTATTGTGAACGTAAAATTTGGTATGTTGTGCGTCGGTCAGAGAGAGAACAAAATAGGCAGACATCCTCTTCAGATGACAAAACAAAACATTTATTCAAAATAAATAAAAATAAATAGTAACTATAGCTCGTGAATAGTAATATCATAGATTTTACTAAACTAGTTTTACTTAATCTGTGGTAATATTCCCCATCTATAGTTACCAGAACAACATTTTTTCTTAAAATTATTATTTGAAGGTATAGTTTTGGTTATTTTGTATTGGACATTTTTTGGGTTGAACTATAATCCATTAAACTTTTAAGGGTCTACTTAAAAACGCTTAATATAACTTAAAGTATTCTTATTTACGTAATATAGAAATCTCATTCATTACCAATTTCCATGCAACAGCTTGTGCTCTGGTAGTGGTTGTCACAGACAAAACAATATGACGTGTTCATTATGAATTACAAGTTGAACTAAAGCGCCATCTATTGGAATATATTTTATAATTGATTAATAATATTTTTAATAAAAAACAGAAAATATAGGAGTATGACATTCTTTAGAAGTAGGGCATTCTCTTCCCGTGAGAATTTTCCTTCGTATTTCAATTTACATTATACCTACCTGTCATCAGAAAAAAAATTACATCAGAGTAAAAAGTACTCTAGTCGAATACTCGAATGAAATTATCTCCATTTGCACTTATTGTTTGGATTTTGGCTATGATCTACAAAAATATCCTATTTGTATCAAGATAATTCATAATTTGAGTGTACATTTTTTTGTTTTATTGAGTTTTGAGAATTTTTTAAGTCACTATTGCAATTATGTATATACCTTCAAATTAAAAATTATAGTTTAAGCTTTCCTACAAATGTAGAATAAAATATTAAATTTTTAAAAACCAAATGCTTTGTGTTTCATTTTTACTATTACCATATGACATATGGATATACTGATAAAGTTGGTGTTATCGTGTTATAAGTATATTATCTAGTATTTGTGAAATGGATTATAACTTATAAAACGTTATAAACCATTTCTGTTCTAAAGGTAATCTGTTGTTGTACAGGTACTCAATGCGTGTGTCGAGTGTTTCTAAAAAATTAAGGTTGAAGGTATTCTACAAAGATCCATACAAGACAAGTACATATTTTTAAATTGTATATAAATTATACTTATATATACTGTAATTGCAACCTTTTCATAAAAAAAATAATACTTTTTTTTTACTTCCTTTTATACATTTTAATCAAAGAATAATTGTTGAGGTTGAGCTGTTATGATTCGCTATGATATAAAATGTATGAATTAAAAAAGTACATTGTTATGTCTTATGTAATGTAATTATCTTTCCGTTATCTATAAAGTATACTCGATGCACTCCTATATATATATATTTAATTTCCTTTAAAAATTCATAGCATTAATTTAATATGGTATTCGCATTTATAGTTTATCAAACATTTTATAGTAATTAGCCATTTATTTTATTTGATATTTAATTCATAAGCCATTATAAAATAATATAATGTTTCAACATAGAACTGATAATAATATTCTGTATGGTGTACCTCAAATAAGGTTTCAGCTTAATAATTATTATTTAAAGTTAATTTTTTTAAATATTATAACAACTATCTTAAATGTATTAATGGGACTAAACTTGAGTATTGACTATATACAAGTATACAACCAAATCCAATGGGAGTTGAGGACTTAAGGTTTATATCCTCCTCCCCCTCCATTGTCTTATAAATCACCTTATGTGTCTTTTTGATACTACCACACTACGACTACAATTAATTTTTATTTATTATTACTTTAACACCCCTCCACTGATTACGGAAAATTAGCATAATAATCACCCAAAAGCAGTTTTTATTAAGATTAATTTTGTTTATCGATACTATTCAAAAATTAGTAATAGGAGAAATTTGAAATATTGACCAAATCTTTATACAAGCATTTTCTGGACATGATCATTTTTTTTTAAAAATATTTTTGCTTTTTAAGACATTTGAAATTGTGTACGTTTAAAATTTATTTTTCGAGAAAATATGTTGATTAAAATTTTTATGCTTTTTAGCGAAAATCTTGAAAATTTAGTAGGAATTCCTTATAGCAACTCAAATATATTAATATTCTAAGAAAATTGTATATTTACATAACCAAAGTAATAATAATAATATTATAGTGATATCATACGTTGAAATTTAAACACTTATCATGTATAACATTTATTGTCTTATACTTACATATTATCATTTTCTATATACACAATGATCAATGACATATTTTTCAAAATATTTGGACCAATTTTAAGCTATTTATAAAAAGTTCTATACGGTATATGGCTAAAGAAATTTTAGTTGGTAAAATAAATATAAAATAACAAATAAAATATCGTTAGAAATGGAAGCTGTTCAACATCGGTTTTTGTATGCAATACATTATCATTGAGTTAAAATTTATTAAAATATATCCTACAAGAGTCATTACTCATTAGTTCGTTACTGCAGTGACCTAGTCAATGACGAGGTACACTCGAAACCAAATAAACCTTCCTTGTTTTTTTTTTAAATTTTTTTATTAACGAACATAAATATTTAGTTGTACAATTACTGTAAATAACTTCAGTATTATGATTCCATAACTTAATTAAATAGTTTATTAAAAATTAAAAACTAGTATTGATTTGCTTTTTATTTGTAGTTCTTTTTACTTTTTGTATGATAAAACTTTAGTTTTGATAAATAAACTATCAGTAATCAATATCCAAAATGCAAAAATATTAATTTTTATCAATAATAATTTAATTAAGTATATAAACTTCAAAGATTTTCAATATAGAAAATTATTTTGGCACCTTCTTCACTAAGAACCTTGAGTATATTTTAATGTATTGATCTTCTATACATTTAATTTTAGAATATTATTTTAGGCTGTTCATTGTGAATGAATTCACGAATCTTTTATTTGTTTTAATTTATAGTTTACACTACATTATCAATCTTTCTATGCAAACATCGGTTGAATTGGTTTTCTCAAGTATAGTAAGATTATTAAATGCTATTTTAAACTAAAGCAATTGAAATTAATCCAAAGACTTTAAATTTAGGATTTTCTCGAATAACATGATTTAAAGTACCTATGTTTACCTTTTCATGAAATACCTACTTAATATAAGTCTACAAGTCACAATAACCTTAAGACCGTCATGCGCAACCATATACAGAATTGTTATTGAATTATATCTAATATGTAATTTTTGTAAAATATATAGTCAATGTCTGCACATAGCACATCAGAACATGGTTTGACAGTTTGCAATGCAGTTTGTACTGAAATGTAAACCAAAAAAATTTTTAAAGGGAATTACGTATTATAATAATGTTAAATATCTATATCTTAAATAAGGGGTTGCAAGTAATATCGCAAATCGCAATAACGCGAAATTACTTGATTAAAATTCGAAATTTATGATAACGACAAAATTTGTGAATAAATCAAATTTTTGTGGGAATGAAAAAAGCAGGAAATATTGGCTAAATATCAATTTCAGATTATGGTATGTGCCTATATTGTACCTATGAGATAAACAATTGAGAAACTAGGATGTTATTCTTCGAGAAAAATAGGTCCAACAACCTCAAATTCGTCACGATCGAATTATTATCATACTCGTTCAGCTAAAGCGCTCCAAATGATAATAACATGTTATTAATCTTACGCCACAAACGTGCGTACCTGTAGGTAGCTACATTAAAATAATTGTGCGAATGTGTGGTTCTGACAACTTACGAGGACTACGACGTCGAACCAGTGATCTATAGCACATAACGTTATGTAATATATTATTATAATTATTTACTTACACACATTCAAAATTGACGTAATTACGTGCATTTTATTCGCGGTTATTGCCTATATAATATACTATTATATCATAATATTATTATACGTTACGCGAACGTAATTATTATTATAACATATAAAATGTTAATATTATGCGAGTATTTTGGTGTAAACAGAAAGGGTCCGCTGCCACACATAATATTTTCGCTCGACCTTGGCGTTTAGGTTCGTCGGTTTGTTGCGCGAGCTCATTTTTTTCGCGCTACCGTCTAAAAAAGAAAAATTAATAATAATAAATACGTACACAACGAAAACGTCTGTTGACCCGGTGGCAGCGATAGCGCAAACATCTGCAGACAAACAATATTATTAGCGCGAGTTTATTATTATTATTATTATTATTGTAGCCATCAACAAACGGCGGCGGCAGCGGCAGCGGCACAAAGATACGCGACAGCGCGCAGAATCCAAAATATAGTATAATCGCGCGTTATTATCACGCCGCGCCGTCGCCACCGCCGCCTACCGTAGGGGCCGGACCGTCGTCGTCGTCGCCTGCCGACGCGATCGGACAACGCGTCGCCGCCGCGCCGTTACACGGTTACGTTAGTTGTCGAAAAAAATCATATCGTTGTAATAGACTACGTACAAGCGACTCGCAGATCAGTACCGCTCGCCGCTCGGCGTACTTGACAGCGCACGTCTGGAACGTGCTTGGTGCTTTTAAAAATTATTCGCATACTTTCGGAGCTCTCGCGCTTTTGTTATTTAAATATAATATATTTATTACAATATTGATCGCTCCACTGCAACTACTTTACATCATATAACGTATTGTCGTATTATTATATAATATAGTATTATCACACGTCGTCACTATCATCATCATTTTCTCGGAGGGACACCTGCCACCAAACTACTTTATTATAATATTATTATTATACATCTTCGACTGACGACACACGACGGGCGTAGTACAATTTTTTAACCCAATCCTCCACAGTCCAGAGTTTCCATGGCCGCTGATCCCGAGTACTGGGTGTTTGGATACGGATCGTTGTGCTGGAACCCGGGTTTTGAATTCAAGGATTCCATGGTCGGTTATGTGAAGGGTTTCTCCAGGAAGTTCTGGCAGGGAAACATTGCACACCGAGGAACTAAGGAAAAGGTAATACGCTTTGATTATTAAATATTATTAATATTATTGTTATTATTACCACGGTTTTCGAATTTTTATATTTTAATATTTACTCGAGCGCACGTGTAGTCTGTTTTGCGTCTTATCGCGAGATAATATAATAAAATAAATATATAGATACAAATGTACACGTGTAGGCACACGCTTGAGCGCATCCGCCCGTGTGAGTGCATGGCTGATGCAATGTTTTCATTTTGTTTCACGTCTGTATTGAGAACCACTGACTATCGCCTAGTGGTTCCGCTACCGCTGAGTGGTTGCCGCCTTATTGGGGAAACAATTATCACGACCCCGTATAAGCCACGTGACGGTTTTAACGTTAACGCCACGTTTCAACGGTTTTTCGTCTTTTACTGACGCTTGGAAGGGTCTCGGTGTAAATTACCAAAAATTGACTACACAAGTCAAACCACTTGAAACTGTCCCTTTATTATAATCATACTAAAATATGAGTAGTAGCTACAGAATTTACAGTACGCATACCTATACGCAAAATTGATGACCACGTTCGATTTTCTCTCGTTTGCACTGCATGTTAACTGTCAAGTTTCTATAAAATTATGCCCATGAACGACCTCCTATTTTTGTTCTGTAGTAGGCAATTCGAGTAGGCAGTTATTTCCCAAGTCTAGTCTTAATAATTGTGAATGTGTTCTGTAAAGTTGTAGGTATATAGAGATACAAGGGGTTCTCAGAATATTTATTTCGCTATTTTGCAAAAACTATAATACTGCTGAGATTATTTTTTCTTACATTGTAATTACTACTATTACGTTAAGACGTTTTTTACTTTAATTTTTAATATATCCACCACCAATATATTTCCGCATTTTTTATATCGATTCAATCAAACTGGTTTTCAGTAGATAATTAACCCATAAAAAAGTACAATTCTTCATAACATCCATCTAAACATGAACAGTTTTTGTACACATCGATTTGATGTGCCTATACCTTAATTTATGTATATTTCATCTGAAGTTTGGTAAAAATTAAATTCAGCACAATATTCGTAAAAAAAATTTTTATTCAGATGATTATATTTTCCCCACAATTTCTAGTTAATAGTTTTTATTGCATTATCTATAAGCGTAGATGCATAGTGTCACCAAAATGCCTTTCACTTATACGTTATGCCTATTCTTTAACTAATTGTGTCACAATCGATACAGAAATTTTCTTTGTTAAAGATTAAGGTCACCCTGATTTTATAAATTTTAGTGGCTTGTAAAATTTCAAGATATACCTATGAAAAAGTATGCTTTATTAAGTTTTATATAGTTTATTTATTAAACAGGTTATTTAATCTAAATTTCTGTTCATTAATGACTGAAGGCCCAGGGCCACGGAATTTTAGACAGACTAGAGTAGTTTTCTTTTAAAAATGACCTCCACATGACCACATATTACCCGAGTGAAATGTCTCAGACTTACCAACAGTTTGTACATAATTATATTTTATAATAGATATTAGCTATCAATCAAAGCATTCAATTTGAATTCATTATTTTTATTTAAATATTATTTGCAGTAGCATTTTAGCACAGCTTGTAATTAAGAGTAGGTAATATGGTTTTGATATTTATTTGATTAAAGATTAAACTGTTAAAATATCGTACGTTGTGATTCGTGGTATATAATTATACAATTTACATAACTTAGATTGTAAATGAATAATAATAATTCTAAAAAATACACAAAATATCAAAACTATTAATAAATATTAAAAACAATTGTACCTGCAGTTATTGTAGATTAAATATCCATAACAAATTAAATAAATAATATTATTTATTGATTGTTGCAAATATTAATAAGAATTATTCTTAAGTCATTACCGTGTGCATATTATGTTTTTAGATTTTTTGCTACTATGTACATTTAAACAAAACACAAATATTTTGTAAAATTGTTATCGTATTTTCTGTTTATTTGTTATTTGTTATTTAATAAATTATTCAAAACGTAGAGAATTTTAATACTTTATAGTTAATGCTATATTAATAAATGTAGGAAAAACATTTTTATAAAACTGAATAATTAAGTCATTAAAATGAAAATAAATGTAGCTAGGTACTTTAGCCTCTAAATTTTAATCTTTCCTTTTAAAACATTTAAAATGAATTGTAAGTGATCTTAACTTTTTTAAATTCATAATTTTGAAAAAAAAATTTGTAGATTAATATATTATATAATGCATAAATGGGAATTGAAAAATATAAACCCATCCACGATTTTTAATTTCATAAAATTAATTTTTATTTTGTGGGATACCTTATTATATATTTTATTTATTGATATATTAGTAATGACTATAACTAATCAGTAATCAGGTTTATATAATATACAAAGCATATATTGGATATTTGTATAATCTTGTTTTCCTTAAAAATTGAATGCAATCGAATAAAACAAAAGCTAAAATATACAGCGATGTATAAATACATAATATTATTGACATAATTCCATTATAATATTAAAACTTAAACTCGATAAAAATGTAAATAATTATCAATCTATGTATAAAATTCTTTCATAAAAAAAATGTCCTCGGCAGAACCTTTACGCAGTAATGTTTAGATGTTATGTAATATGTATGTTAATTGCAACATTGCATGTGTTATTTTAAATTAAAAATTAACTTTACTTTAATAATGCCAATATAAAAACCATGGGTCCATATATTATGTGGACAACGTAATGTTTATGAATCATTTTATGTAAAATAAAGCGGTTAAATGATGTTTTCAAAGTATACGAAAGTAAAATCTAGAATTGATACTAGATTAAAGTTTTAATACGTATAAGCATTAGGCAGGTAAAATTATTTATTAAAATGATTAATAGTAAACATATTTTCAGATAATTTAGTGAGATTAATGTATTATTATTTTTTAAGAAATACCTGTGAGTTATATGTTTTAAGAAAACTTGAAAATAAAATATAAACATTTGATGCTATGGGATGACGTTAATTTTCAGGTGTTCAAATAAGAAAATGTACTTTCAATATGTTCAAGTGCTTCTATATTAATTCTTATCATTAAATTCATTTTATCTGTGTAATGAATATACACATTACACTTATAAGCAATATATGTATTAAATCATTAACTGCACATAACACTTCATAGATCTGTTATTAATTGCTTATAATATGACATTTTTTAAATTTTATATTCTTATTTTAAGGCAGAAAATGAACTTATAGGATCTAACATTATTTATTTTATGATTTAGACAAAAAGCAAGTGTCTTGCCATTATTATACGTTCATACTAGCTTATAGAATTTATTACTATTGATTACAAAATAGTACCTATAATTATAGCACCTACCTAATTACAATTTAAACTATATTATTATGTAAGTAATTGGAACGAGTCCAATACAATAACTGAACAAATTGATTGAGTTGCATTTAAAATCTTTTACAAGTATTGTTGGCGAAATGTTTTCAAATTTTCAATACAGTGTATTATTCAAAGTTGATTAGTTTGATTTTGTTATTCGTAATATTTAAGATCTTGTAGTTATCTATAAACTGTTTTAAGTCCAAATCTGATGACTAGTTCTATATTAAATCATTAATAGAATTAAAGCCTTTGTACTAATTACTAACCAGTAACCAGTAAGGCAGTAACCATCGTTACTAAATAATAATAGGTTATATAAGTGTGCACACAATATTACAATAATTTACTGTAGCTCAGTATTCGTCATATTATAGTAAATTAGATTGGTAAATTAGTAAATTAGATAAGTACTCATTATGTTTATATTGTCAGTCAGAACCGTCAGTTAAAAAAAAAACATTTGTCTTAATTTTTAATTTTTAATCTACCTATAATAATTGTTTGTTGCAAATTGCGTAGTTTTATTCAGAGGATCCGTAAAATTAGTTTAGATTAAAATATTTATTAATATTACCTGCACGAGTTAGTTTAAAAAAAAAAAGTAGATTTAGATATAGCTCGCCAATTATTATGTTGATAGTGATGATGATTATAGTAGAAATAATAATGTGATTAGGTATTTAGGTAATTAAAGTAGTAAGTATAGTAGATAAGTAGATACAAATTACAAAAAAAAAAAAATAATGAAAATATTTATTAATAAAAAATTTCACCATTTATTATTATTGAAAATGTCAGTAACACAATAAAGTTGATAAATAATGATAATCTTATACTAAAAATAACTTAATTTACGGCCAAAATGGCTGTGCTTGATAAATTAGAAAATAGCTTAGGTGAGTTGATATTACAGTCGAAATGCCGATTAACATGAGTAATGTGAAGGTGAAATAAATATATTATACAAAAAGAGAGAAGAGGTCCAAGAGAATAAGATCTTCTTCACTGTAGGAGTCTATTGTTTGAATTTTTTACAACTGGGAAATTGTGTAAACTACGGACATCACAATATGGTCTTCTTACTTAGACATACATCATATTATTATTATGTACATGGTTCAATCATAACTGTATCTAATACAAAGCCATTCAGCAAACATATGCCTCTACTCCACTCCCATCAGAAAGTATTGTCCCGTCTATTCACATTTATTATATGTATGCCTATATTATTGTTATTGTTATTGTTATTTATAAAAATATAAACGAAAACTAGTATTTGACTAACTTAGGTTAATGTTATATTTTTCAGCCAGGACGTGTTGCCACATTAGTCGAAGACCCACAGGTAACTAAAGTTTAATATTTATATTTTATATACATCTTGATACCGAAACGAAACGTAACGTATTATTTTCTTTTAACCGCATTCCGTTTAGTAAACAGAAAAAATATGTCCTTCGTAGCTTATTGTATAGTGAATGAGAAATGATGTGTGTTCTGTTGTGTTGTATTTTGTTTATATATTCTGCAGATAATAATATAATATATCAAATGAACTATGCAGGAAACCATAATAAATAAATATGTAGTAATCAGTAATCAAGTAGGTACATTCAATCTACTTACAAATTAATATATCTAGTATTCTGTACGTGAGATACATGCATGTTTTAATGGATCTAAGTAAGAATATCATTTTATCAATAAAAGTAGGTGTATAATTATGTATTATTATCCATTTCCTATTCAGACTAAGAATTTCATTATATTTGCAATATTTAGCAATTTGTTCTAAGAACGACTATAAATATGTTGCTAATACTTTAAATAATAAATGATTGAAGGTGATAAAGTTTTTAAGTAATTAATATTCACAAATAAAACGTACTTATAACGAAGATGAATACATATTATATAGGTAGTTACCTACAATTTTTACTAATTCTTATTCATATGTCATTGATTCATAAATTGTAATACTAACATATTATTTACAGTACGGCATTATTATTTGTTTAATACTATCATACAACCAATAATTGTGTTTTTAATGAACGCCAATAAAATTAGAGATCATTAAAATAATTGTATAGGTACTATTTTTGCTTATGATATTAATTTCTTTATCTAATATTATGAATACAATTAAAAATTAGAACAGATATACCTATTGTATATTTTATAAATTTTAAGTAGGGTAACTTTATAATGTAATTAAATTATTATTACATTTAGAGTAAAAATAAAAATGAATATGACTAGATATTATAATATTGTATTTGTGTATGAACAGACATATTATATTATAAAGAGTACAAGAGTAAATTATGTATGTAATTCAACAGTACCAAAATATTAAAAATTAAAATTATTAACAGTATGTTCAAAAATTTTAAAACAAAGAAATAATAATTGTGAATTGTTTGTAGGCGCGTCGTCATACGTAAGTCCAAGTATAGGTTTACAGTTTTTATTAGACGGTAGCGATTATAAATCAAAACTCAGAGAGTCGGTAGTGACCTTGAGAGGGCTCTAAAAATAATAACAGACATTATATAAGACAAAAAGGTTTTTATCCCAATTCCGATATTATTACTCCCGTTATTTCTAAAATTAAAATCATTTATTTTCATCAATCGATATACCTATTGTTTTTTTTATTTCGAAAATGAAATTGATATTAATAAAACTGTAGGGGTGGTTTTTTATGGTTACCCATATTTTTCTTCTCAATGAAATAGCTTTACGTTTTCTTATATATACCGCTAAGGCATCAAATTATAGGTTATTTATAAAGGCTATGAACTCAATTGGACATTTATTATTAAGGTCCAATTATTGCATTCGCGCGCATTATTCAATATTTCAATCTATAATCATTGTATTTAATAGTCGTTATAATGTACATTTTGACTTTACTTTTAACTATATTATATTGTACCAGATTAGAATAACTGGTCTTATTTTCAACTAATTTATTTTAATTATAATTTGTATTCCTATAATAGTTATGAATTGTTATAGATTATAATAATATGTGTATAGAAGACTATGAAACTAGGTACGTGTTTTTAATTAAATTGAAAAAGTTAATGTACTAAATTATTCACAAGGTCTTAACTTTTATCAATAATATTCACAATAATGATTACATTTATACATGTTTAAACCTATTATCCTAAACTTCATCTATTGGTTTTATACAAGTAGCATAACACAACTACTCACAAAAGTCAAATAGTTGTACGTACGTACTAATAGCTTAGGTATTGCAAAGGCATACGTCATTAATCAAATTTAATCCCGTGTAAATGACAAAAATACTGGATGTAACACAACGATTTTACTGATTTTCTTCTTATGATTTAATTTATAACCTCAATACAATCAAACGATTATATATTATTATATATTACGCAGTCGTTGAATGCAATACCTACCTAGTGTGAATTTAACAAGTAATCACTGATCATCAATACATTTTGACTTAGTGTGTTTGATAAAATCCATACCTGCAGCTCTATACGTTGTGTACAAACTACCAACTCGAGTGTAAAGGTTAATATTTCGTTGAAAATAAAAAAAATCACTTAACAAGCTGTTTATAGTTTATGTTAACCGACCGAACGCAAATGTTTAATTATTTATTGCCTACCCTTCTTCTTGATCCCCTAGCCATCGTCGACTACTTTACTTTTTAACTCTGGTATCCCATTTTATACACATAAACACGATTTATCCACCTATATTTTCAACGAACTGGTCTGTTCTTCTTAGGGTTTCCAATGTTTCCATTCAAGTACTTCTTGAGTTACAAACTCCTCCATACACAGACATTAGTCTGTTTTAAAAAAAAATCAACACGAATAAAGACATGTTATGGTTTTTTTTAACGAATTCTCAGGAGCTACCTTTTGCACCCGTAGAAAATTGCATTTTTTTTAAATGAAAGAAGAGCTTTATTCTGCGAAGCGCGTTTAGCATAGTATATTGATTGATGCTCGTCCTACAGAAATTAAACACTATTATGTTGTTGTCAACTCGTGGGTACCCAAAAATGTTGGCTTCAAAACATATAAAATGTTGTTAAAAAAGTTATGGATTATTTTACTTTCAATAAAGTAGGCAATTCAATTTTGGTTAATTTTATCGATAGAAGGACAAATCAAACAATACTTAAAAATTCGTTTTGTTTACCTATACAATTCTTCAACAAACACAAAAAAATAACATAAAAAAAAGAAATCTGCAATTTATTGGAAAAAAACAAATTAACTTGATATTTTATTTTATTATTCTATAATTTTTTTATATTTATTTATTACTATGTAAATATCGGTACGGTTGGTTTTGGCGGAAAATAAAATAAATTTTTTATTTAGACGGAAACGAATATAAGACCCTCTAGCCTTATCTACCTATATAATATATATATTATTATATATAAATAATGTACCGACCTATTGTGTGTATATGCAACCAGCTATAACAGGAGAGTTTGTTATTGTTGCAGGGTTTCGTGTGGGGCAAGGCGTTCCTGTTGCCGGACGAGACTGCGTTTAAGTACTTGGAGATGCGGGAGGTGTACCTAGGCGGTTACCGGGTGCACAAGGTGGACGTGCGGTCGGACGGCGCGGACGACAGCTGCGGGCGGACCGTGAACGCGACTGTGTACGTGGCCACGCCGGACAACGGCCAGTGGCTGGGCGAAGCGCCCGTCGACGAGCTGGCCACGCAGGTGGCCACGTGCGCCGGACCAGCCGGCCACAACGCCGAGTACGTGATACTGTTGGCGCGGTGGGAGAGGCAGAACGCGCCAGTGCACCGCGTCGACATCGAGCTCAGCAAGCTTGAGCTGCTCGTGCTGGAACGGTTGCAGTCCATCGGCGTGAGGCCCGACGACGTGCTCACCACCAACAACACGCCGTCGTTCTCCTCCATGGTGCCCGAAAAGAAGTTGAGATGTTTGAACATTTGACCAGCAGTTTATGTTATATATATATATATATATATAATATGTCATATGTATATATTTAGGTATGTGAGTACAGTAGTACACGCTACTTCGTTACTATCGTAAATCCACTAACCAAATTGTAATATTATTATATTATGGTTGATGTTGTTATAATGTCATCACGCAGACACCCGAACAACTACCTGTGACTATATATTTTGATATCGCACTCTTACGGAGGACATATTTTAGACGACTTGATAAAAACGAAACTGCGAGATGATATTTTGACTTAACAGTTTTCGTCTGCGTGACGTGAATATAGTAATGTTATTATGTTCTAGTAATAATTTTACTCAGCGTATATCATATATTATAAGAACAAATAATACGTATCTACTGACGGGGAGACGAGTATCTCTACATAATACTCTGACTCTGAGCGATATGATTTATTATTTTTAGTTATATTATAGATATACCTGTATCACATAATAGCGAAATAAGTACAATTTACTAACTGCGACAGGGTGATATATAATATTATATACCTACAATGTAGGTCCTACATTTATAAATTATTTTATTTCGTTGATGTTTTATAAAACTTTTAATATTTATTACTATTACTATTACTATAATTATTATAATTACTATTATTATTATTTTTTTTTTATTATTATTATCATGATCATCGTGATGACTGTTATCGTCGTACGATGAATTGATTTCATCACGAACGCAATGCCTAAAATATTTTTATTTTTATACACACTCGACGATGACCGTGATCGGTGCATTGTATTATTTTTATAAAATTATCAAATGTGTCCAAAACACTACCTACTGCTTAAATATGTATTTATAATATATTAATGTATAAGTGTATGTGATGTTATTTATTATATTTCGACGTGTTTAAACGTCGCTCAAACGAAAAGCAAATCATACATGCATATATTGTCATGTATACACCATAATATATCAATATACCTACACCATTGATTGGGTTATTGAAGAATTCGCATGTGTATAAAAGAAATTATTGCCCCTATTTATTGTTGTGAATATAATATAATAATATATAGGAGCTCAAGTACACTTTTAATACAGTTAAGTCGAACGTATAATATAATATATCTTGTATAAAATATGTACCTATAATATAAACCAATATACCATTACATATAATATGCTAGTATGTCAAATATTATACATAATATATTTTTTTATATTTAATTTATAGTATCTATACCGTGATGGTATTTTTATTTTGTATTATTATTTATTAATGCAATTGTTTTATATTATATATATTTATAATATATACTTGTATAACTTGATGTAAATAAATAAATGCGTAGTTTGTGTATATGTGTGTTTGTGCGTAACGTATGTGTTTACTGAAAACTAAAAGTGGTTATGTAGTAGTTATTTGCCAAATGAAGGTATTGCGCACGTCGTATGCATAGTTTTGACTATTTAAAAATGTGTCGGGTGAACACTATATTTAATTGAGCGTGGAACTCTTCCAAAATAGTATTTTTGTTAATATATAGCACGTGGCGTGCGCATTTATAAATTGTTCAAGTTATATTTGCCTTCTATTATGATAAGAATGTAGGTATACATTTTTTTAGAAGATACTATATATAACGCACATATATTTGCAGCCTCGGCCCTGCTTTCTTTTGTTTTTATCGACTAGGATATTTATCTGATATTTTCATTTAACAAAAAGGAATTCACGATTTAATAAGTAAAAATTAAACTGTGCAAAAAAATCGTATTTTTTTATTATTATAATTAGTATCGTATTTTATAAAGATAAAATTCAAAATATAAATACCTTATGTATCTATACCTAAAATAACCTGTTCGATTTAATGTTCCGTTAATTTTATTCTACGATAAATGGTAATATAAAATGATAAATTATTTAAAATTGTAATTTATCATACTTTATTCTTTAGGACTCACAATAGCCAAATAGGTAGACCATCTGTGATATCAATACTGATTTTTTCTTTAAGCAATAAATTGTTATTAAACATATATTAAGAGATTATATTTACATAATCTAAAAAAAATAATTGAGACAATAAGCATTATATATAAATATAACAATAAAGCGCGGTCGTACGCTCAATACGCGACAACGCTCTGAACGTACGTACCGGCCGTCGTTGCTAACACTCGGATGGGTGACCATCCGGGTTTTTAGCAACACAGACAAACGTGTTCCAACCCACCGCCTCCCCCCAACACAGTACCAGGCTAATGACCTTTGTAGTTGAAGACTTAATCCAAAAAAAAAAAAATAATAATAATAATAATAAAGCACTAGATTCTAGAGGTATAGAGTATAGTACGAAAACAATGGGTACAAATAAAAATTTTTAAAAAATCGCCTACAGTGAAGATTGATGACACCTTTTGGTTTGTTATTACTATTATCTAAATTTAATACCTATTCAATTAATACAATTAATCAAAAATAATATACATTATTTTATTGAAGCTATTAAAGATCTATATTATTGCAGTATGATTATGTGTCATGGACGTGACCAAATAGATAATAATAATTGATAAAATAACACGATTCCTACTACCTATGTATAATATTCTCAGTTTATTCAAAAAAATAATATCAATAGTCTGATGAAGTTTTCAAAAAACTGAAAAAATCAAAATGCAAAAATTTTAGACTTGAGGGTTTTTAAATAATTTAATATACGAATATACGATTCAAAATTGTGGGTGTCTTTCATTTTTAAAATATAGGTAATTTTAGCTAAAATATTATTGTAGCCTTCTTTCGTGGATATATGAAAAAAAATGGAAAATTCCTGAGCACTTCTCTATTATTATACCGTTACTTATTTTCTATAAACCGACTAAATGTGATGATGAAATATGATAATAAGTTATAATTTACGAAGTTATTATAAATTGTTTAGTGTTTCAAATTTTCTAGCTCGGAATCTATTTAATATATCAGACATCAAATATCGAAGTGTACAATGTACATGTATCAACAATTTATTTTTTATTTTTTTTTTAATATTTAAAAACACTCCTCGGCCACCAGGGTTACTGGCATTTCTGAAGAAACACATTTCATTTTATTATTTCTAAAATACATTACTACTAAAGTTTCATACAAAATATCTTAAAATGGTGCATTAAGGTTTAAGTTATTGATAATACATGTAATATAGTCTATGTGTTCTTGTTATATTTTCTGAAATAAGTTTAACTCTTTGAGGAGTTCCAGAAGAGTCAATGTTCGCTTTGTATTGGGTAATAGTATTTAGCTGTTTTTATTTTTTGTTATCTTATTATCTAATAATAACTAATTATTTTCCAATTGAAGTTTGTTTTAGTCAATTATTATTATAATATTGAAATATATAAACGAGACTTTTATGAAATGATTTTCAAATGATTTTTCATTGGTAATTCAGACGAAAAATTGAATATTATAATTCCTATCACAAAACTAACATGATATTTTATTATAGTAATGTATTTTTAACTAGTGAAATAATAGTTTGTATTATCTTTGTTGATAGCGCATTTAAATAACGTATAATAATTGTTGAAAAAGCACTTTGTAATTCAACAGTAATAGTTACAATCTTCTCGAAGTAATACATATATCTTACCTAATTGCTTATACCTACACAGGTATATGTTTAGTGTTTACATATTATACATTACGACATAGACCCAAGACCGTATTGGATTCAAATCACCAATTATAGATATAGTAGTTAGCATTTTGAAGGTTACTGCAGCATGTCCGTATGAAAATATAGTTACATTAATAATGGATGAACTGGAACGTCTGCAGGAACTTCAATTGGTAAGTTCGTGAAAAATGCATATTATTTATTTACATAATTTATTATAAAATACAAACAAAATAAATATAAAATTATAAAATAATTAACTCATAAATATCAGCTTCTGTATTATTAACTATTATTTAATGTATAAGAAATACCGGCATCATACGTATATTAATTCTAACTGCCGTCGTTTAAACCAAGTATATCATACATTTTAGTCACTTATGTCATACTCATTAGTCATTATACGCATAGACATGTATGGTGTACATTTGTATAGGCTTACAAAAAATGTAAAATTGAATTATCACATTATTTATTACAATTTCTACCGGTAAAAATGTAAATTAACGCCAGTCACTTCCCGCTTGGGCTTACGTAGATACAGGATAAGAGTATTATTAGTTATTATTATTATTATAACATAATCAGTAATTTGGTATTTAAACAATATTATTATGTGTACGCTGTGTAGTATAATACATGTTAGTCAAACAGCTAACCGGAAACGGCGGATACTGGTTAATTAGGAACAGTTGTCAATACTCGATAATAATAATATGACAATTGACAATGTTAATATAAAGCAGGTGGTGAAGGTACATAACATAATATATGATGATATATAAAAATGCCATCTGTACTGCTTTTTATTGTGGGAGTACTAAGTAGGTATCATTGATAAAAATATTTTCTAAGGTTTTTGTTATAACTCGTTTCTTTTCATATATTATACTATTGTAACGAATTTCATAATAATACCTATTACACGAAACCTGTTTTTTTTTTTATATCATTCAATTCGTATTTTGGAATTAGTAAGTCGTCAGCCAACGATTTGTTTGTTTTATTAAGACGAAATGAATATTGAATTCAAATAATTTACATCCATCACTCGATGTATTATTATGCACAGAATAATTAGCATGCGAGCATGCTCTTCTACATTTTTCCATTTAGTACCTAATAAATTTATTCAAATTCTAATAATCTGTTAATTTTATGTAGGTTTACTATATTTTTAATTCTTTAGATTTTCTCAATTCATTTTAGAAATGTCCTGTGGCTAACTTATATTATAAAAATGAGACCAAACCTTTTGAATAATTTTTTTTTTGGAAATATTAATTTATCAAATTAAAAATTCAAATTTGTAGTTTCTGAGTTGTCAGAAGTTGCAAATGCAACTTTAAATTCAGTTAAAATGCTTATAGACAGAATAATAGTGCTTAGAATGGTTTTACGAAAATATAAAATTTAGTAGATCTAGTATTTATTGTATTCATTTATACAAATCATAAATATTTAGTTTTAAAATTAATTACTAGAATTTTCAAATCATCTTAGTCACCATCAAACTTTTTATCATTGAGTTTAATTTAATATATATAATAATAACTAACATATAAATTAAATATTTTCTTGTACATAATATTATCCTCAGTACACAGACTACAAAGTTAAATAATTCAAAAACTACTCAAAAGTATTCATTTAGATTTACTAATAGATTCTTTGATGAATTACTATGAATTCATTTTACTGTATGATTATCTAACAGCTAACACTAATTACCACTACATAGATGTTGAAAGTATATTTTACCATTTTTGCAATAATAACATTTAAATTTTAATACATACATGCCGTATTCAATTTTATATTCTTAAATGAAATATTTTTCTGAGATTTTGTAAAGATATGTACAAATCGAAATTCAAATAAATAGTTACATAGACGGGAATATTTGGTATAATATTATTGGGGGGAGGGGTGAAATCTCTCCAGGATGCTTTCAAGCACCCCAGAAGATTTAGTCCGTTTACACATTATTATTATTGATAAATGTATGACATTAAAATAAACATATAATAATGTATTATGAATTTACATTTTACAATTATATACAAAGATATACAACGTGTTTGGTGGCAAAATGTAAATAGTAAGTTGAAGGTTGAAGCCTGTCTAATGTTGATAATGGGCGTTTGTCAGTCTAACTCCAGTCTCCACACATAAATTTGGTCAAATATCCACCAATGAGTATAGTTAATTAGTTATATGAATTTAACGTTATGCTGAGCAGAGCGGAATGACACAATATGGTACTCCCCCAAAATGTCGGTACACTGCTAAGTTGGAATCATAGAAAC